CAACTTGAAATGCTCCCAAAAATGGCTCCACAGCATGTAAACATATAATATAAGCTCTGGTGGACTTGGTTCTATGGTAGGTCTTAAAAGCACTACGTCGACTGCTTCAGTGACTCGAACACAAGAGAGACGTAACATCATACAACACCATGGTTTCATCTGCCTCCATAATGATATCGCTCACCTTCTCAACAAAATCTGAAATGTTCTGGATGTGGTGTTCAGAGCTGCCCACCAGCGGGTTGAGGACTGAAGCCAGAAACTTGGAGATGTTATAGGTGACCGAGTGGATCATACAGACTATTGGTCTTAAAGGTGCACCCTGTTTATGTATCTTTGGTAAACCTTTCAGACTTGGTGTAGCTTCCCTCTGGTTATATTAGTGATCAAACAACTGATCTCACAGCCATTGTTCCTTCAGTGGGCTGGTTTCAGTTGTTGTGTAAATGTGCTGTTTATAAGATTGAAACCTGCAGTCAGCTGACACTGAAGACGTCACCTGATGATGATGAAACGTTTCTCCCACTGAAAACGTCCAGATGAACAGAATCAACCTTTTGGGCTAACTGTCATGTGCTGTCCCTCTGCTAGAATTAGGAAATGAGAATGTGCAGAGCTAATGCAGTCAGCTGCTTTATGACTGCATCATATCGCAGTTGGGTGTGGGTATGACTATATATGTGAATGGTTGTCTGTTTCTGTGTCAGCCATGTAATAGACTTCTGATCCCCGAACCCCCAATAATGAACAGATGGATGATTATGAAATCAAAATCTGGAAACTTTTCTTTTGGCACAATAAATGTTATTGCATTAGGACATATAACGTGAAACTGATAAAAACTGATAAATCTGCAAAAAATAGCCTCTAATTCTTTTATTTATATATATATATATATATATATATATATGTAGCATGTGATATATTTATTGAGTCGTGCTTCTGTTCACAGCTCCTGTATGAACAGTGGGCAAGCTACAGCGTTTTCTACAAGTACCAGCCCATTGGACTCATCAGGTGAGATCCATATCTGGCATAAAATTGCTGACAGGAAATGCAGTTTGCAAAACCACAATTTATTTGTCCTATGACTTTAAATTGAGGAAATTAATTTTAATCAGAAAGGTCTTGTAATTATGACTTTAATAGTGGCATACACGACCTATTTACATGGAATAATCAATCAATAATCTGTGATCCCTTAATCAACTATTAAGGGATCACAGTTAATTTCGCAGTGATGGATCTGACAGTGTCCTCTGTATCTCCTCTCACCCAGGAAATATTTTGGGGAGAAGGTTGGACTGTATTTTGCCTGGTTGGGAGTCTACACACAGATGCTGATCCCTGCTGCCATCATCGGAGTAATTGTATTTCTCTATGGCTGTGCTACTGTCGATGATAACATACCTAGGTACGCTGGAGACGCTTTTTTATTGCCTTTATTGCAAGTGTCAGCTTGCTATGATTCCAGTTTTGTCTAATACTCACAGCAGGTAGGTTACACTTTTGTGACCTTTTGACATTTGCATCACAAACGGAGTGAACAAATTTCTCATTTTTATGTCAAGAAGAACGTAGCCAGGAGTACAAGGTCTACAGTAAAGAGAGAGGTGGCAATGGAAAAGGCTTAGAGTGAGTTGTATGCGGAGCTAGACGCTAAGAAACGAGAAAAGGACTTGGTAGGTAGATCAAGCCAGAGAGGGTGTGCAACAGATTTGAGGTTCGACAAAAATGGAAATGTGCTAAGAAATGATGGAAATGTGTTGAGAAGATGAACGAAGTAGAGGACTGTTGGTAAATCAGGAGGTGGAGAGGATTAGTAATGAAGGAGTGAGAGTAGGATGAAGAGTGCAGAGGAAGTTGGTCTCAGTAACAGACGGGAAGGTCTCTCCAACTTTTGGCTTAGATGATTCATTTCTGAAATCTATTCTTTTTTGTTAGCATGGAAATTTGTGATCCCAGGAACAATATTACCATGTGTCCACTGTGCGACCAAGCCTGCAGCTACTGGAAGCTGGTCACAGCATGTGGCACAGCCCGAGCCAGCCATCTGTTTGACAACGCAGCCACTGTCTTCTTCTCCGTCTTCATGGCTCTATGGGGTGAGTACATGTCCAAATATATAGACAACAACCAGAAAATATGTAGACCACCAACAAATAAAGCT